CTTTTTGAAGATGGGAACTACTGTACATCAGCTCTTTTCCAGTACTCTGGTAGTTCCTCGGTATTTTTTCATCAATTCACAGTTTCTGTGCACTTCAGTTTCACCAGCTAACCAGCTTCAAAAGAATATTGGTATTTATCGGACAGATTTTGTGTGTCTAGCAAGTATTTTTTTTTTTTTTATGAATTTGGCATTAAGAGCTTTTTCAGAGGATGTTGAATCCTGCAGACTGAAGGGATGGAAGAGGAAGAATTAAATAAAATACAAAGCTTTATTTACAAGGAGGAGAAGGAGGAGGAGATGGGGAAGGGGAAGGATTGGAGGGAGAGGGGAAGGAAAAGGAGAAGGGGAGGGGGAGAGAAAGGGAGGAGGAGGAGGAAGAAGGGGAGAGGGAGGAGGAGAGGAAGCAGCAATCTCATTTGCACATTTTTTTTTCAAGTGAAAACAACGAGAAATTAAAAAAAGAAAGTTGTCAGGTTACATTTTCAGAAGACATGCTTGATGGAACATTTCAACGGTGACCCCCAGGTTCATTCGTTCATCCTTTTTTTTTTCCCCTTTTCCCTCCTCTTTTTTTCTCTTTATTTGTTTTTGAAACCTCGTCGAGGGGAGAAAAAAAAATGTGGGCAAATTGTAAAGGTTCCATCTCCCTTGATGTATTTTTATTGAACGGCATCCGAGTTTAATATACTGTCCCCAGATGCCTGTCACTCACAAGGGCTGTGTGTGTGTGTCTGGTTTTTTTTCCCCCCTTCTTTTCTCCACGAATGGAGACGTGACAGGTTTTGAATGTTAGGAAGGATGCAAGAAACACAGGACAAACATTACCGTCGAGATGCATTGTTTAACCAAGGGCTTCCGGTATCGGAGGGCGAATATATATTTTACGTCTCCCTGGAGGAAAGGAAAAGATGGCATTTAAAGGAAAGTGATGGCAGTGGAGAAATATATAAATGGAAATTACCATTTCTCCTTCATTTTATCAGGGAAAAAAAAAAAAAACTCAGCTTCCCTTCGGATGATGTTTCTCCAGGCCTTGCCTCTCCTATCTTTGCAACTTTCTCATTGGTATTTCAGAATAATTCCATGCCTTCCTTTCCTCCTTCCTTCTATCTCTCCCCCACCCCCAATAAGCCAGCAAATGTGCAAATTTGCAGATGGCCATGATTTTCCACAAGCTACATTTTCCTTCCATCTAACTTCTGTGACTCTGGAGAGTTGGTGGCTTCTGTCACCCTTTTGCCATTAATAGCAATAGCACTTAGACTTACCGTATTTTTCAAACTATAAGATGGACCTAAATTTAGAAGTGGAAAACAACAAAAAAGGTTTTTGGCCTCTGTGCGCCCCATTTCTGGCCTCTTTTTTTTTTGGCCCGTTTTCGGGGCTGAAAAAAGCCCCCAAAATGGCCCAAAAAAGGCCTGAAAAAGGCCCAAAAAAGGCCCAAAAATGAGGCATGTGGAGGCCAAAAAATGGCTGGCAGGTGGTCAAGGCTTCGGCAATATTTGGTCTATAAAACGCACAGACATTTTCATCCCCTTTTGGGAGACAAAAAATTGTGTCTTATAGAAAAATACAGTATATACCACTTCACAGCACTTTTACAGGCCTCTCTAAGAAGTTGACAGAGTCAGCATGTTGCCCCCAACAATCTGGGTCCTCATTTTAATGACCTCGGAAGAATGGAAGGCTGAGTCAACTTTGAGCCTGGTGAGATTTGATCTGCCAAGCTGCTGGCAGCCGGCGATTAGCAGAAGTAGCCTGCAGTACTGCACTCTAACCACTGTGGCTCCTTCCTTCCTCCCTTCCTTCCTTCCTTCCTTCCTTCCTTCCTTCCTTCCTCCCTCCCTCCCTCCCTCCCTCCCTCCCTCCCTCCCTTCTCCAACATTCCTTCCTTCCTTCCTCCCTCCCTTCTCCAACATCGAACTCCTGGAGTGAGCACTGAGTACTGCATGCTAACCACTACACCACCAATTTATGAATTCCCATATCCTGTGTAGTTATTATTTATTAAATGTATGGCTGTATGAGATGACCAGGCTGAGCCTGAGGGAGGGGTCAAATGCATCATCAGTCATAAGTCCATGTGTGCCCAAAAGAGATCTAAATCCAGCCCATCTTGAATGCCCTTTTTATCTCCCACTCATTTCCCTTAACCGTTAGTAGTTCAGATTCTTGCAGAGAGCTTAAGCTTGCAATGCATCTTTATACTCATTTGAACTTCCCGAATCTCCTGATTTCTCCAGCACTTCACAATGGCATATCACACATGGACTAGCAATATGCGCTAACATTTCATCTATATTAGTAAACACAATAAGTTGTGACTGGAGGTCTTCTAGTTCAACCCCTTGCTCAAGCAGGAGACACTATACCATTTTAGATAAATGGTTATCCAACATCTTCTTAAAAACTTCCAGTGTTGGAGCATTCACAACTTCTGGAGGCAAGTTGTTCCACTGATTAATTGTTATAACTGTCCAGAAATTACTCCTTAGTTCTAGGTTGCTTCTCTCCTTGATTAGTTTCCACCCATTGCTTCTTGTCCTGCCCTCAGGTGCTTTGGAGAATGGCTTGACTCCCTCTTCTTTGTGGCAGCCCCTGAGATATTGGAAGACTGCTATCATGTCTCCCCTAGTCCTTCTTCTCATTAAACTAGACATACCCAGTTCCTGCAACCGTTCTTCATATGTTTTGGCCTCCAGTCCCCTCATCATCTTTGTTGCTCTTCTTTGCATTCTTTCTAGAGTCCCAACATCTTCAATATCACATATTTTATTTTATATCATTTTTTTTAATACTGTTGAGATATTCTTCACCTCAAATGGCTGTTCCTCCTTTAAATCATCCCAACCCTGGTTCCTTTCTGCTCAGAAATTCCCCAAAAGATGATGGTGTCAGCACTTCAGATATCACTTCCCACTTCAGTGAATTTGAATTCACACATTTTTTCCCCCCAATCTTAAATTTTCTCCATCCTGGAGAATCACAATTGCCCGTGATTCTTTTGTTGGGATTGAGTTTTGGAAGAATAAAATTGCACAAAAATGTGTATATATTTCTTCCAGTGTACTGTACTTGCTTGGGAATGTGGCATTCTGATTTCCAGGCTTAAAAAACAATAGGAAAAATAGATGATAGATAGATAGATAGATAGATAGATAGATAGATAGATAGATAGATAGATAGATAGCTAGATAGCTAGATAGCTAGATAGCTAGATAGCTAGCTAGCTAGCTAGATAGATAGATAGATAGATAGATAGATAGATAGATAGATAGATAGTTAGTCAGGTTAAATGTCTAATTTACTTGCAAGGGTTAATTTGAACTCACCTCCCATCACCCCCACAACTCCTCCTTACCTACAGCTCCTCCCCCTGAGTATAAAAGGTCTCTCCACGAGGTCATACAGCAGTTCCAGATATGTACCTGTAAGAAAAAGACAAAAGGTCAGTTACTATTACCTTGAATGAGCCTAGATCTAAGTCAGGCCTACAATAAAGGAATCTCCTGAAGAAACTATTTTCTCTTGTGAGTTATTGGGTTAGATCCATCCATTAACATAGATAGATATAGAGAGAAAGATGTTAGATAGATGATAGACAGACAAAAAGACAGGCAGACAGGCAGGTAGATGATAGACCCGTGATGGCAAACTTATAGCATGCATGCCAGAAGTAGCATACAGAGCCATTTCTCCAGGCACGCCAGCCATCACTTGTTGTTCTTCCGGATTTTGGCGTGCACATGCACACCAGCCAGCTGGTCTTCGTGCGCGCATGCGCACCAGGGAGCTGCTCTTCTGGTTTCCAGTGCTCCTGCACGCACAAAGCTTCTTTGTCCTCGTGCACGCAGGAGTGCCAGCCAGCTGGTCTTTGCAGGAGCATGCGTGCCAGAAACTGGAAGACCATGTGACCGGTATGCATGTGCACTCCGGAGACCGGAAGCTCAGGTGCTCTTTCGGTTTCTGGCGCTCCTCCCCACGCGCTTTCGTTTCAGCACTCAGTGCTGAAAAGGTTCTCCAACACTGTGATGGACAGATACTAGAGATAGATAGATAGATAGATAGATAGATAGATAGATAGATAGATAGATAGATACATAGATACATAGATACATAGATACATACATAGATACATACAGAGAGAGAGAGAGAGAGAGAGAGAGAGAGAGAGAGAGAGAGAGAGAGAGAGAGGAGATGAGAGAGAGGATGATGAGATGGAGATGGAGATGAGAGATGGAGATGGAGATAGAAATAGAGGATAGAGATGATAGAGATGATAGAGATGATAGAGATGATGGAGATGGAGATGGAGATGGAGATGGAGATGATAGATAGATAGATAGATAGATACATAGATAGATAGATAGATACATAGATACATAGATACATAGATACATAGATACATACATAGATACATACAGAGAGAGAGAGAGAGAGAGAGAGAGAGAGAGAGAGAGGAGAGATGGAGAAGATGGAGATGGAGATGAGAGATGATGGAGATAGAGATAGAAATAGAGGATAGAGATGATAGAGATGATGGAGATGGAGATGGAGATGGAGATAGATAGATAGATAGATAGATAGATAGATAGATAGATAGATAGGAGATGATGGAGATGGAGATGGAGGTAGAGATGATAGAGATAGATAGATGGAGATGATGGAGATAGAGATAGAAATAGAGGATAGAGATGATAGAGATGATGGAGATGGAGATGGAGATGGAGATAGAGATAGAGATAGAGGTATATTTTAAAAATACAAAGCTAATAAATCCTATGACAAGTCTGTTGCTCCATTTTTTTAAAGAGATCCACATAACATGTAACCTGCAAAGGGTTGATTTCATTTTATTGCATTTATTAAATAGATTTATATATCCGCCCAACTCACCCCTAGTGACTCGGGGCGGCTTACAAAAAAAAGGGGGGGGGGCTTTAGATTGCTTTTTCAATCTGGAAATTTACCCAGACTTTTTTTTTTTTTTTTTTTGGTCTTATAGTACATGTGGGATTTGGGTTGCTGAGTTACTCTTTTTAACATATGCCTTTTTCTTAGTTCACCTTTACTTCTAAGCTTCCCACAAACTCCACCCCCAAGGTATTGTAAGGTGCAAATGTAATAAGCAATCCAGGTTATAAATTAGTCCATTGGTAAAATCAATCAATAAATAATGCTAACAATTCCCCGAGATCGGTTAATTGCCCTGTAATAGAATTAACAGACCTACACATCGGAGATAACAAACTAGAGTGAAAAATGGTGATTTTAGTCCTGAATTAATTTAAGGAATTCCCCAAATGGTTTACGAATAAAGGAACGAACGGAAATGTTACAAAGCATATAGTAATCAAAAAGTAGATGAAAAATATTCTCACCTATAATTAAATGTTTGTCAGTAGAAACGGTAGAGTAATAATAAAAAGCCATTGATCTCTCTTTTTTATCCTGCTCTACGGAGTGGAGAGTTGGTCTCTGACAGAAAGCCACTTGAAGAGACGAGAAGCATTTGAAATGTGGATTTACAGGCAGCTGTTACGAATAAGCTGGTTGACAAAAATCAGAAATGAGGAGGTCATAAGCCGCCTGGGAAAGCGAAGGGAAATCATCGAAACCATTAAAGTTAGAATATTTCGGACATGTGAGGTGACACCTGGAAAAATGCGCCATACTTCACTTAATCCTCCAGGGAAAGATTGAAGGCAAACAAGGTCCAGGCATAGGATCTTTTATCTATTATGGCTCTGCTTGAAGAAGGTAGATCTTCGTTATTTAGAAAAGACTAGCCCAGGCCTTAATGGCCCATTGACAAAGATGGAGGGGTGGGGGCTGAATTTCTGCCTCCCTTTTAGGGGAAATATTCTGCCCTTTTAATGTTTCCTAAAATATGTCATTTTCCTAGGAGAGGGGTGGATGCTAACTTCCTACAATGTCATGCGTGCAAATTCATCGGCAACGTCAGCGGTGCTAGGAACAGTGAGTGGAACAAGAAGAAGGGGCAAGCAAAGACCATACTGGCTTAATAATATCAAAACTGATAACAACGATGAACCTCTAACAACTGAAAGCAGCTGTGTATCACAGTACAAAAGAAGAAGGACTAGGGTAGACATGATAGCAGAATAAGCGTTGGAAGGGACCTTGGAGGTCATCTAGTCCAGCCCCCTACTCAGGCAGGATACCCTATACCATTTCAGACAAATGGCTGTCCAGTGTCTTCTTAAAAACTGCCAGTGATGAAGCACCCACAACTTCTGTAGGCAAGCTGTTTCACTGGTTAATTAACAGAATAACAGAGTTGGAAGGGAACTTGGAGGGAGTCCAATCTCCTGCTCAAGCTGGAGACCCTTTACTGTTTCAGACAAATGGTTATCTTCTTAAAAAACTTCCAATGTTGGAGCATTCACAACTTCTGAAGGCAAGTTGTTCCACTGATTAATTGTTCTCACTTGTCAGGAAATTTTTCCTTAGTTCTACATTGCTTTTCTCCTTGATTAGTTTCCATCCATTGCTTCTTGTGCTGCCTTCACATGTAGTCTTTCAATATTTGAGGGGCAGCCACAAAGAAGAGGGGGTGGGGGTCAACCTATTGTCCAAAGCACCTGAAGGCAGGACGAGAACCAACAGGTGGAAGTTAAAGAAGGAGAGAAGCAACCTGGAACTAAGGAGGAATTTCCTGGCAATGAGAGCAAATCAATCAGTGGAACAGCTTGCCTTGAGAAGTTGTGGATGCTCCATCACTGGAAGATTTCAAGTGGGGTTAACCTATTTTTCAAAGCACCAGAAGGCAAGAGAAGAAACAAGACATGATAGCGGTGTTTCAATTCTAGAGGGGTTCCTACAAAGACAAGGAGGGTCAACTTATTTTCCAAAGCAAAGGAAGGCAAGGCAAGAAACAATGGATGGAAACTAATCAAGGAGAGAAGCAACCTAGAACTAAGGAGAAATTTCCTGACAGTGAGAACAATCAACCAGTGGAACAGCTTAGCTTCAGAAGTTGTGGGTGGTCCAACACCAGAGTCTTTTAAGAAGAGTTTGGACAAACCCTTTGTCTGAAAAGGTATCTCCTGTGTCTCCTCTTTGAGCAGGGGAGTGTTGTGGCTCCGTTGCCTGAGCCTGGGCTATGAACTCTGAGAGTGAGGGAGAGGAGTTGGCAAGGCCTCCCTCTCCAGGACCCTCCTCTCTGGCAATGCCTCCGGAGGACACTAAAGGCCAAAAGATAGGCCAAGAGCCAAGCATGTCCCCGCAGCCATAGGTGGACAGTGACGAAGGAGATAAGTGCTGGCTGGACCCTTGGCAGAGGCGCAGGGAGAAGCATGCGCAGCAGAGGGGAAGGCGTGCCAGAGATTAGCTGAGTCACTGGACCACACCCCACAGGGTATATATGTGGGTGTGGTGGCCGATTCAGTTTGTGATGAGCAAAAACTAGAAATAATCCATGATCTCTGCATTACTGGACTTTGCCTGGCTTGTCGGACTGCATTTAGACTAATCCTTGTATTGTTGAAACTCTGCCTGCTTTATCGGAATGCTTGCAGTCTAATCTTTGTTTTGTGTGAGTAAAGTCTGAATTGGCAGCTAGCCACTGGGTTGCTGCCAGCTTTATCTTCAAAGATTTTGTCGTGTGGCTTATTAACTCCGGGCCGTCCGTGGGGGTGCGGGTGTGGGACAGGGACAGAACAGGGGGGTTGGACTAGAAGACCTCTGAGGTCCCTTCCAACTCTGTGTTATTCTGTCATTCTAGTCTGCCCTTGTCCCTAAAGGAAAGACAAAGACTTTCTCTCCAGGTTAGAGGCAAGATTAAAAGTTCCCAGGACGGTTGAGTCTAGAAATAGCTTCTCAATGACAGACAATAAGTTTTCTTTGTTGGAAAACCTTGTTACTCTGCCAACCAAGTTGCTGTCAAACCAAATCTGTGATTTTTTTTTTTACCCTGGCTCATGCTCCCCCCCCCCAGTGAGAACATCTGGATCCCGATGCCTGCATCTGATTTCTTTCTTCCTTGGAGACTGATCTGAATTTTATGTAAAGTTGTCCCCAGAGGGCGAAACAAGTTACCTTTTAGCATGCTGCTTTTGGCTTCACGATGCTCCGTTCTAATTTAAATAAAATGTGGTGTGCTTCTTTTTTTTTCTTTTTCTTTTTAAAAAAAGTCCTGTCTGGATTATAAAAGTAAGGAAGTGGCATTGTTCGCATTTGGTTCCTTCTAATTACATTTGCCCTGTCAGTGAGATGCCAAGCAGACTAGGAGGAAATCAGCAACCGTCTCCCTGGGGGGTTTCGTTGTTACAGGAAGGCTGTCTCCGATGGCTTCGACGTGACAATTTCCTCCTCTCCTACTTCAAAGTTGAGTGTGTTTCCCTCTGGACAAATTTGGATTTGATTATTTGCATCAGCTTCCGTGGTCTCAAGCTGGTTGATTAGCATCTCGCTCACCTAAAAAAAATTAGAACACTGGGGTGGGAAGGAGACAACTGCCGATAACCAAGCAGTAGACGTGTAGAACAGTAGAACAAAAAAGACAATTGAGTGGAAAATGGGTCTTCTGTAATTCTTGACCTCCTGAAGAAAATTGACCATGGCTATCCTTTGGGAGGACAGATCCTGAAGCTGAAGCTCAAATATGCTGGCCACCAAATGAAAAGAGAGGACTCCTTGGAGACGATCCTAATGTTGGGGAAGTTGGAAGGCAAAAGGCAGAGGATAAGGTTGAGCAGTTGTGAAGAATTGATGCTTTCGAATTGTGGTGCTGGAGAAGACTTTTTTTTTTTAAAAAAAAAGATTTTATTTTTATTTTTCATAAACAGATTTACACGTACAGTCATTTCCATCATTTTTCATTCATCTTTTCTTTTAACTTTCATTTTTAATCTTTACTTGAGGGACTTGAACACTGGGCCCTCTCTAACCAAAGGAAATTCAATGTAGAGAAAAGTAAACTCCTACACTTAGGTAAGAAAAACCAAAAGTACACTTATAAACTGGGGGAAACCAGGCTTAAGAGCAGTGACTGTGAGAGGGATCTTGGAGTCTTAGTGGACAACCAGCTAAATAGACTGAAAAGACTTATATGAGGCTCCCCTTGAGGAGCACCCGGAGGCTCCAATTGGTCCAGAGTGCGGCCGCGCGGGTGGTGACGGGAGCAATGTGGCGCTCTCATGTGACCCCCCTCCTGCGTGAGCTGCACTGGCTCCCGGTGGTCTTCCGGGTGCGCTTCAAGGTTTTGGTTACTACCTTTAGAGCGCTCCATGGCTCAGGACCAGGGTACTTACGAGACCGCCTCCTGCCACCAGTAGCCTCTCACCGACCAGTTTGCTCCCACAGAGAGGGGCTCCTCGGGGTGCCGTCAGCCAAACAATGTCGACTGGCGGCCCCCAGGAGGAGAGCCTTCTCTGTGGGGGCACCTGCCATCTGGAACGAGCTCCCCCTGGAGATACGGAGGATCCAAGACCTACGCATCTTCCGCCGCGCCCTAAAAACGTTTTTATTCCAACACGCTGGTCTGGCCTAACTCTCCCTTTTAAATTGGCCTTTAAATTGGCTTTAAATTGGGTTTTAAATCTCTTTTAGTTAAATTGGATGTTTTAATCTTTGAACCTAATCCTAAATTATTTAATATTTTTTAATAGTTTTTAACTTTTGTATGTCTTTGTATTTATTTATGGCTGTTCACCGCCCTGAGTCCCTTGGGAGTAGGGCGGTATACAAATATGAAAAATAAATAAATAAATAAATAAATAAAATAGGAGCCAGCAATGTGCAGCAGCTGCCAAAAAAGCCAATGCAATCCTAAATTGCATTAACAGACACAATCAAGATCAAGTGAGGTACTAATACCATTCTATAAAGCCCTAGTAAGACCACACCTAGAGTACTGCATCTAATTTTGATCACCACACTATAAAAAAGATGTTGAGACTCTAGAAAAAGTGAAGAGAAGAGGAACCAGGATGATTAGGGAACTGGAGGCTAAAACATGAAGAACGGTTGCAGGAACTGGGCATGGCTAGTCTAGTGAAGAAAAGGACCAGGGGAGACATGATAGCTGTCTTCCAATACTTGAGGGGCCGCCCCAGAGAGGAGCTGTTTTCCAAAGCACCTGAAGGCCAGACAAGGAATAATGAATGGAAACTGAGCAAGGAGAGATTCAACCTGAAAATGAGGAGGAATTCCTGACAGTGAGAACAATCAACCCGTGGAACAGAAGTTGCCTTCAGAAGTTGTGGGAGCTTCATCACTTGAGACTTTCAAGAAAAGATTGGACTGCCATTTGTTAGAAATGGTGTAGGGTCTCCTGCTTAAGCAGGGGGTTGGACTAGATGACCTATAAGGTCCCTTTCAACTCTGTTAATCTGTCCCTTGGACTGCAAGGCCATCAAACTGGTCAGTCCTAGAGGAGATCAACCCTGACTGCTCTTTAGAAGGCCAGATCCTGAAGATGAAACTCAAATACTTTGGCCACCTAATGAGAAGGAAGGACTCATCGGAGAAGAGCCTAATGCTGGGAACGATGGAGGGCAAAAGAAGAAGGGGACGGTAGCGAACGAGGTGGCTGGATGGAGTCACTGAAGCAGTCGGCGTGAGCTTAAATGGACTCCCGAGGATGGTAGAGGACAGGAAGGCCTGGAGGAACGTTGTCCATGGGGTCACGATGGGTCAGACATGACTTCGTAACTAACAACAACAACACTTAAGGAGACACAACATGATGGCACATGAGTCCATTGTGTCTGTCGAAAGATAGTTTTTTCTCTTTGGATCTAAGAGAAGTAAAACATCAATGGATATTTCTTAGAAGGAAGCCTTATTCTTGCGTTACGCATTTATTTAAACACTGCTGTCCTGTGAATGAATATATACAGAAAATTTTTGATTGGGCCAAGCCCAAAAATCTTGAATTGGCCAACATGGACCCTTGAGAGGGTAAAAGCCATATTTTTCGGAGTATAAGACACACTTATATAAGATAAGTGTAATAAGTGTATAAGACACACTTCCTCCTAAAAGAGGCTGAAAATTTGGGTGCGTCTTATACTCCGAATGTAACCCCGTGCAGTGCCCAAAATGGCTACACAAAATGGCTACCCGGAACAGCTAGTGCCTTCTCTTACCCCTTCTGCGTTTTGCCTGCTTTAGTCACTCGAGCTCCCTCCAAGGATCAGCTGTGCTTTTGAAACTGTTTTTCAGCCCCAATGAGGGCGAAGTGATCTTCTGTGCTTTGCCTGCTTTTCTAATTGCTGCTCCCTCCGACAATCAGCTGTGCTTTAGAAGCACAGTCCCAACCAGCCCCACCCTCAAAACCAGCGAGCAAACTAATGTGCTGGGACTAGCCAGATGAATACCCGGTAGGCAGAATTTCCCCCCCCCCATTTTACTCCCCAAAAACTAAGTCCCCCCCCTATTTTACTCCCCAAAACTATACTCCGGTGCGTCTTATACACTGAAAAATACTGTAATTGAAATACAATGCATTATAACCAATGGTAGAAATGTAGATGTGGAAATAATGATCCATTTTCTCTGTAATTAGAAAGACAGTTCACTTATCAATTGAGTCTCGATGTGTTTTATTTTATTTGTTCTGACATATCCTTGGCATCACCCAAAATACTGAATTTCTTTGAAGCCTTTGTCCTAACATCTATAACTGATCCTGGATACAAACAGGAGTTGTCAGTTGCTCTTGGCCATTCCTTGTATCAATTTTATTTATCAGCTTGGGCTTGCTCATTGCTTTCCGAAATGTTCAAACCTGACAAAATTGGTTATTCTAATCCTTCTGATTCTACTTATAATGCCTTGGTAAGGCCACACTTGGAATACTGCATTCAGTTTTGGTCTCCGTGATGTAAAAAAGATGTTGAGACTCTAGAAAGAGTGCAGAGAAGAGCAACTGGGGGCTAAAACATAAGAAGAACGGTTGCAGGAACTGGGTATGTCTAGTTTAATGAAAAGAAGGACTAGGGGAGACATGATAGCAGTCTTCTAATATCTCAGGGGTTGCCACAAAGAAGAGGGAGTCAAGCTATTCTCCAAAGCACCTGAAGGTAGGACAAGAAGCAATGGGGAAAAACTAATCAAGGAGAGAAGCAACCTAGAACTAAGGAGAAATTTCCTGCCAGTGAGAACAATGAATCAGTAAAACAACTTGCCTCCAGAAATTGTGAATGCTCCAACCCTGGAAATTTTTAAGATGTTGGATAACCATTTGTCTGAAGTGGTGTAGGGTTTCATGCCTGGGCAGGGTGTTGGACTAGAAGACCTCCAAGGTCCCTTCCAATTCTGTTATTCTATTCTATTCAAACTAATCAGGGAGAGAAGCAACCTGGAATTAAGGAGAAACTGCCTAACAAGGAGCACAATTAGCCTGTTTCTATTCTATTCTATTCTATTCTATTCTATTCTATTCTATTCTATTGGTTTCTGAGAAGAGCTGGACAACACTTGTTTGAAATAGTATAGCCCCCATCTATTCTGTGCCTCCCAAGTTCTAGCTGATTGGGAGGAAATGGGGATTTTGCAGTAACCTTCCCCTGGAGTGGGGAGGGAATGGAGATTTTACAGTAACCTTCCCCTGGAGTGGGGTGGGAATGGAGATTTTACGGTATCCTTCCCCTGCCACGCCCACCAAGCAATGCCATGCCCACCAAGCCATGCCGACAGAACCAGCATGCGCCCGCCGGCCAGCTGATTTTCAGGCCTTCTGGGCCCACCAGAAGTAGGGAAACAGCCTGTTTTCTGCCTCCGGAGGGCCTCGGGGGGGGGAAGACCCGTTTTTTTCCTGTCCTCAGCCTCCAGAGCCTCTCTAGGAGTCTGGGGAGGCCAATAATGGCCTTCCCCACCTCCTCGGAGGCCCTCCAGAGGCCAAAAACAGCCCATTTGCCAACTTCCGGTGGGACTAGAAGGCCCATTTTTTGCTGTCCCCAGCCTCCAGAGCCTCTCTTGGAGTCTGGGGAGGGCGAAAATGGCCTTCCACCCCCCCCAGAGGCCCTCCAGAGGTCAAAAATGGCCCATTTGCTGACCTACGATCCCACCAGCTCTGGAGGCTCTGGAGGCTGGGGACAGAAAAAAACGGGCCTTCCCCACCACCCCTAGAGGCCTTCTGGAGGCAGGAAACAGCCTGTTTCCCTATTTCTGGTGGGCCCAGAAGGCCCAAAAATCAGCTGGCCAGCCCACGCATGCGTGACTGAGCTGAGCTCGATTGCCCACTGATATGGCTACGTGTGCCACCTATGGCACGCGTGCCATAGGTTTGCCATCACGGGTATAAAGTCTCCTGTTTGAACAGGGGGTTGGACTAGAAGACCTCCAAGGTCCTTCCCAACTCTATTTTTCGCTATTCAGTATAAATTTCATTTCATTCTAGTAGCAATCGCTGGTTTTTGAACCGGAATGTCCCAAAGTCCTCTTGATATTAAGACTGCAGTTTTGAAAATTCCACGTCATTGTTCACGTTAGATGGAGCTGATAGAAGTTGAAATCCAAAACATATACTGTAGAGCATGAAATTACCTGCCTTTATTTGAAACAATTGTCTGGCCTCTCAGCAGTCGTAAAGGGTTAATAGCAATTGTGAGGCTTTGTTTTGTAAATGGATCTCTTGCCTTATCAGAGACCTCTGAAATTTTGCTTGTTTGCTTTCATTCTCAAATTCAGAGCTCTTTTTTTTTCTTCAGAAATTCTAGACCCAGTTTATAGAAGAAATTATTTCACGATTCCCCCATGCCCTAATATATTCGTATTTGACCTCTGTCATTGTTTCACAAGAACTACAATGCTAAAATTCTAATAGACATTTCATTATTAGGTCATCTCAATGGCCTTTCCAAGGCTTCTTGCTTTGATCTACCAATCAAAATTATTTTTCACTTCTCTTCCTAACTTCATGATGCTCTGATTCTGTAGACATGGCCAAATTCATTGGGACCATTTCAAACAAGAGTCAATTCACTGGGAGCTATTTAGCAGCAACTTTTTTCCTATTTTTGCAAGTAATGAGGTTACTGCAAAATTTACAAATCCCAAGGAAAATCAAATGTCAAGAAAAGACATCTTCGGATTTATCCAAATCTCTCTCATCTATCTATCCATTTATTCATCTATCTGTCTATCTATCTATCTATCTATCTATCTATCTATCTATCTATCTATCATCATTATCTATCATCTATCATCTACCATCTATATCTACCATCTATCTATCTCTCAATCTTTGTCTATCCATGTATCCATGTATCCATCCATCCATCCATCTATCCCTATCCATCTATTCATCTATCTATCTATCTATCTATCTATCTATCTATCTATCTATCTATCGATAGATAGATAGATATATCTATCTAACTGGACAACTTCCTCACACACCTCAACAGCCTACACCCCAAAATACAGTTCACCATGGAAACAGAAGCGAACAACCAACTTCCCTTCCTGGATGTCTTAGTCTACAGAAAATCCAATGGCTCCCTAGGACACACTATCTACCAGAAGAAAACACACACAAACCGCTATCTGCACACACTCTCACACCACCACCCTGCCCAGATCAACTCTGTAGCCAAGACACTCATTTCCAGAACAAAACGCTTAGCTGATGAACAACACCTAAAAACCGAACTACACACTCTCACTAACGTACTAACATCCAATGGATTCCAAAGAAATAAGATCACCAACCTAATCCAAAAAGAAACCCCCACTAAAATCCAAGACAGAGAACAAGAAAACGGCAAAGCCCTCCTCCCATACATAAAAGGCACCACAGACAGAATAAGCAAAATCCTCCACAAACATAACATCAAGACAGCATTCTGCACAAACCGAAAAATATCCACCATCCTAAGGAACCCCAAAGACAAAATTGAGTTAGAAAATCAAGGAGTATATGAAATCCCATGCACCGCCTGCCCCACCACATACATCGGACAAACCAACAGACGAATAAGTGCACGCATAGAAGAACACAAGAACTCAGTCAGAAAAGAGGAACCAACTTCTTCCCTAGTCCAACACCTTAAAGCCACAGGACATGATATTGACTTTAAAAAGACCAGAACTATCGCCAAAACTGAACACTTTAACAACAGAATAATCAGAGAAGCCATCGAGATAGAAAAACGCCCACACAGCATGAAGAAAAGAGATGATACCTCCCGCCTACCAGCCATTTGGAAACCTGCCCTTATTGACAAACGAGTCCCTAACATGACGAATGTCACCAGACCCACACTCACGAGAGCCACACAGGATGTCACCACCACACATCCACGCAGAAAGCAGACTCAAACCCACACTGTTAATGAGCCACGACCAAGGACCAGAAGCCAGACCGCAGCTGCATCATTAGCCACTTTAAACCCCTCCAATCCATCCATGAAGCAGACTGACACCCACCATGAAGAGCTTGCATGGCCACAAACACAAAGCCAAACAACAACAACGCAGCTCACCAGCTCAAATCCCCCTGCAACTCAGACTAAGCTGAGCACAACCAAGCCCCCACCCAAACAGAACACCCCCCCATCCAATCAGAGCACAACAAACCCCCCATCCAATCAGAGCACAGCCAAGCCCCTAACCAATCAGAACACACCTCCACCCAATCAGAACACAGCCAAGTTCCCACCCAATCAGCTCACACCCCCACTAGCAGTTAAAAGGAAGAGACAGCTGCGATCTCACATTGCTCCTGGAAGCACGAAGCCGAGAACACCAGCCTGAAGATGACGAATGAGACTTCGTCGAAACGTCGCCAAGACACTTCCAATTTTACGTGGGAGAAGACCCGAATAACCAAAGACCTACATACAAACACCCGCGAAAACCTGAGAAAACAACTATCTATCTATCTATCTATCTATCTATCTATCTATCTATCTTCTATATTCTATCTTGGTGATGGGAGCGACGTGGCGCTCCCATGTAACGCCTCTCCTGCGCGAGCTGCACTGGCTCCCGGTGGTCTTCCGAGTGCGCTTCAAGGTTTTGGTCATCACCTTTAGAGCGCTCCATGGCTCAGGACCTGGTTATCTACGGGACCGCCTGCTACCACCAATAGCCTCCCACCGACCAGTACGCTCCCATAGAGAGGGGCTCCTCCGGGTGCCGTCGGCCAAACAATGTCGACTGGCGGCCCCCAGGGGGAGAGCCTTCTCTGTGGGGGCACCTACTATCTGGAACGAGCTCCCCCCCGAGATACGGAGGATTCCGGATCTGCGTACCTTCCGTCGCACGCTGAAGACGTTCCTATTCCAGCAAGCCGGCCTGACCTAAATTTCTCCTCTTTTAAATGGGAATTTTAAATTTGGTTTTAAATTATTGGGGTTTTAAATATGGTTCAGCCAAATTTATCTAACTTGTTTTATTTCTATTTTAAATTTTGTATTGATATGTTTTATTTCATGGCTGTTCACCGCCCTGAGTCCTTCGGGAGTAGGGCGGTATACAAATCTAATAAACTAAACTAACTAAACTAAACTATCTTCTATCTATATCTAACATCTATCTAGCTCTTGATCTTTGTCTGTCCCTGTATCTATCCATCCATCTATCCATCCATCTATCCCTATCTATCTATTCATCTATCCATCTATCCAACTTTATCTACATCTATCTATCATCTATCTATCTATCTATCTATCTATCTATCTATCTATCTATCTATCTTCTATCTTCTATCATCTATCTATATCTAACATCTATCTAGCTCTTGATCTTTGTCTGTCCCTGTATCTATCCATCCATCTATCCATCCATCTACTCCTATCCATCTATCCATCTATCCATCTATCCATCTATCCAACTCTATCTACATCTATCTATCTATCTATCTATCTATCTATCTATCTATCTATCTATCTATCATCTATCTATCTCTATCTATCATCTATTATCTATCTACTTCTATTGGTTGTGGAATAATGATTCTGATCCATTTCCTTTTACAATCCCTCTGGGTTTTTTTCTTTTCTTTTTCTTTTCTTCTTCCTCAGAATTGTTGGGACGACTTCAGTCAAACCAGAATTTATTACCATGATTTACTAACAAAATTATTTGCATGACTTCTGTCAATGCTATTTGCATACCATTATTATGAAAGCCGCTTATTTGGAGAGCGGAGATGATATACGAGGGTTTATAACAAGCGTGCCTTGTTATTTAGACTTGATTTTTCATATGCAAAGGCAAGGGATACAAGCCCTGGAGACTGGCAGTCCTTTTTCTCATAGTGCAGCAATTGTTGTATATCTGCAGGGGGGGAAAAAGGGACAATATTTTTTTGTCCTTCTTGACCCCAAAGCTGAAATTCTGCTCGAGTGAAAACAATTATCGGCAGTGGACAGATATGGATAAGAAACCGCAATTCGTCTTTCTCACTCCCTTCAAATGTTGATGTTGCTATTCCTTTCTTTTTTCTTTTCCAAATGACGGATGGCTCGAACTGCGGGAGCAGGATACTCTTCACACACACACACACACACACACACACACACACACACACACACACAATCTCACTTGAGCTCTGAAAGAACTTTGGCCCCAAAACCTTGATCTTATGAAGGGGTGGAGTCAGAGGTGAGTTTGCAAACCGGGAGCGAAGATAAGTGAATACCACCACAGGTGGAAGCTAATCAAGGAGAGAAGCAACTTAGAACTAAGGAGAAATTTCCTGACAGTGAGAACAATGAATCGGTGGAACAACTTGCCTCCAGAAGTTGTGAAGGCTCCAACACTGGAAGTTTTTAAGAAGATGTTGGATAACCATTTGTCTGAAGTGGTGTAGGGTTTCCTGCCTAGGCAGGGGGTTGGACTAGAAGACCTCCAAGGTCCCTTCCTACTCTGTTGTTCTGTTCTATTCTATTCTATTCTATTCTATTCTATTCTATTCTATTCTATTCTATTCTATTCTATTCTATTCTATTCTATTCTATTCTATTCTATTTTATCCTATCCTATCCTATCCTATCCTATCCTATTCTATCCTATCCATTCAATTCCATATATCCTATCCTATCCTATCCTATCCTATCCTATCCTATCCTATCCTATCCTATCCTATCCTATCCTATCCTATCCATTCCATATATTCTATTCTATTCTATTCTATTCTGTTCTGTTCTGTTCTGTTCTGTTCTGTTCTGTTCTGTTCTGTTCTTTCTATCCTATCCTATCCTATCCTATCCTATCCTATCCTATCCTATCCTTATCCATCTATTCTATTCTATTCTATTCTATTCTATTCTATCTATTCTATTCTATTCTATTCTATTCTATTCTATTCTATTCTATTCAACCAAGGATTTTATTAGCTTTCTTGGCTGCTGCCACACACTGCTAGCTCATGTTTAAATGATTAGGACTCCACTAGGACACCAAGGCCCCACTTATTTTCAGCTTTTCTGGGTTTTTTTACCATTATACTTGTTACTCTCTGAATAACAGTGATCCTGATCCAATCCTCCCTATATTCAGACCCTGCTTACATTTTCACTGTGATTTTTTCCATTCGTACCTTTCAAACACCCAGAAGATGAGAAAGAGAGGGCTGAAAAAGAAAAAGAACATATCAAAGGACAGGAAAGTCATGAAACTTCTTTT